TCGCGGCGTTTGCCCCGCTCCGTGCCGAGCCGCGCCGGCCAGGGTGCGGGCGCGGGCGTGTGTCGGGAGGCGGCGGCGGCGGTAGCGGCGGGCGGCGGCGGCGGCGGCCGCGCCGGGGCGGCGGGCGGGTTGGGGGGAGGCACGGGGCTGCTTTTCCTGCAACTTGTTTACGCCGCCCTTATATTGGGGAGGCAGAGAGGGGTCCGGGTCGGGCCGCCGCCCGCCTTGCGCCGCGTGCGTGTGCCATTCCGGAATAATGGGTTTTGCACACTCGCGTCCTGGGCCCGGCGGGCCGTCCTCACGCCGCGGCGGCCGGGCGGGGGGAAGTAGAGGCCGGCGGGGGTGGGGATCGGGAAGCGCAGAAGCCGAGGCATCCGCCGCGCGCCCCGCGAGCTGGTGGCGGGGGGAGGGAGGAAAACTTGTGAGCCCTGGAGGCGGTGGGGGGGGGCGGGGGGGCAGGGGGGGGGGGAGGACGCAACTTTTGTGCTGGTGGTAAAACTTTAATTACCTTTAAAGAAAAAGGCCTTTTGATTACACCCCCCCCACACCCTTTCTGGTCAAAGCATGGCCCACAGTGCGACCGTGAGAGAAAGTTTAAAAGCAGGCGGTTTCTTAGCCGCCTTCTCCGCGAAGGGGTGGGGGTATCTGTTTGTCCGTCTGCGCTCGGAGAGAGGTGGGGGTAACGAGTCGCCCTCCGGGGTCGCGAAGACCGTAGCCCTTACCCCACCCTTCCACGGGGAGACGAAGGTAAACGTCGCTTCAGTTTCCCTCCTCCCCGCCTTCCCCCCCACCCCGCTTCCTTTTCCTCCCCCTCCCCGCCGATTTTTTTGAGGGGACCCAAAAAACGGAGTCTCTTTCCTTATGCAACTTCCTCGGGCGCTGTGAGCACGGCCCTTCCCCCTCCCTGCATCCCTTGGCCCGCTCCTTTCCCACCTCGGGTCCACCGCCAGAGAAAATGCATTAGAAATCATTCAAAGTCTACAGAAACAAAAATAGATTTTTTAATTGTTCTAAGTTTAAGTTAAGGGAAACTGAGATGAGAAATAAGATTTGGGCGGGGGGGGCGGACGACGGCTAGGCGAGTGCGTCGAATTTTAATTTTGATTTTCCTAGAGCGTTGTTTGTGATATCTTTATTGGTTTGGGGAGCCCAAGAGTCTCTCTACTGGCTAATTTGGTCGCGTGGATTTTTGCGCAAGTTTTTAGAAAAACACTGACTCGAGTAAAGCATTTCTCCGGAAAGTTTCAAGTGCAGCAAAATAGCGAACATGCAAAACTGGCCAAGGGGAGACCTCTAGTGGTTAAACGCATCTTTAAGTTCGGAAGGCCGACAGCAAAGTTTGGCCTTTGCTTGTAGCTACGTAGTCCATTCAGACGTGGAAGTAATTAGAGGACCTGAGCGAGCAGCCAGATGTTGTGTGAATGGATGCCGATCAGAAATAGGTTTAGTAAATTGGAGAGCAGATAAGTTCTGACGACCCAGAGCCTGTAGCTTCGATCCCTTTTCATTTATATGGGAAAAACACTTTGCTTTTATTCGGGGATTTGAGATGGGTCCGTAACTGGGTTAGAAACAGTTTGTCTATATATTTATTATTGTCTTTATCTTTCATCAATCAGGAGTCACAGCAGGTCGTTTCATTTTGAATGTTAATAAAAATACAAAGTGTTTAAAACTTCGAAAAAAATGAAAAAGACCTTTGGTTGAAATTTGTCTTTTATATAAGCTGATCATTTTATTCTCTCATAAATATAATTAAAGGATGGTGTTTAGTTTCTTAACCGAGCCGTTATATATAGTCAGTCATAAAATAAGAGGTCCGTTTTAGTTCTAAGAGTGTAATTTTGTTTCACTGGTTAAGACATTATTTCTGAATACTTTAAGTTGTGATTTAAATATTTACATACATGGGGAAAAACTGCTTACATAATATCTATTCATTTGCTAGCGTGTGTTCTGCAAAGTAACTTCAATTTTTAAAGATAAAAGCACTGAGAAAAATTAAAGTTGAATCAAATGATCCCTGTAAATTTCACCTGCTGGTCATACAAAGGGGGAATCTTTAATTTAGTTATTTACGAAAAGGGAATGATACGAATGATAAAATCCATTTTATCTCATCCAGAACTAGTTTATTTTATTTTTAATATACTGAGTGGTATTGTGTGAAATTATGCAATATGTCAGTGATTCAAAATTTAAACATATTAATTGTGGACTTGAAGTCTTCTTTTTTATGACAAAGCATTGATTTTATATTTCCTCTCTTTCAATTAGTGCTGGACCTTTAGGAGAAGTCTTGGGGGTGGACAGCAATCCTAGACTACAGGGGAGTTATTTCTTCACTGCCACTAGGTAAGATTTGCTTGTTGAAACAAATTACTTGGTATATTTGCAAATGTTAAAAGCTGCGCTTGGGGATCAGGAAGGAGAATGTGGGACAGGGTTGGCAGAAAAGCATCATTTTGTGGGGGCTGTTTTGAATGCATGAAAGCCTTGACGTGAAGTGTAATTGAGGCTCAAGTAAATAAAACATTAGGAAAAGTTTCAAGATTGTCCTGGGTAATTTTTGGACTGACTCTTTTAATAGATTCTTAATTTTCATTTCAGTTGTACCTGTTTTCTACTGAAAGCAAATAGTTTTGTTCTTTGGAATTGAAAAAATGGGAAAACTAGAACAAAGCACTTGTAAGTTAATGTAACTGTTGTAACACAGTGATATGGAAGATTCTGGAACTTGTTAAAATTTTGTAGGTGAAATTTACAACAAGAGTTTTGGGGCATTTAAGTAATTCAACTTTTGTGGCTTAAATCCAGTGTGGGCCAGCTTGTGCCAAATATCATGCCAAAGGGCTGTGACTTTCCAGCGTGTTAGCATAGACTTGTCAACTTTTGAACATATCTCCACAGAGTATATAGCTGTTATCTAATAAGATCCCTTTGGTAATTTTGGAGGGTGTTTGCTGGTTTATGTCTAGTAATTCAGGGCCTATTTTCAGGACGAAGGTTGTTCTCTAGCAAAGAGGGCAGCCCTCTGTAGGTAAACCATCAAAGTATATTTGTGCTACTGTAGTGCTTTCTATTTATACCTCCACCCCCCCACACACCCCCACCCCCGATTTAATTTTTTTCCTCTTCTTTTTTGCTTCTTTACATTTGGTCTGTCTTAAGTATTAAAGGAGTTGCTAATTCTTGTTTGGGAAAAACATATAAAACAAAATCAATTAGTCCTACCTTTTATTAGTAGGACTAGTAATCCTCATTGGGCTCTTGGAACCAGGATAACTATGACCTAGATGTCAACACTGAATAGTTACTGGTGTAAAATGATTGTTAACGGGAGTTTATTGCCATTTTCTGCTTGTGGATGGTCTTGAATGGTGTAAGTAGCCAAATAAATAGATTGGGTCCATGTGGATGATGCAACAGAGACAGTGGGGCGAGAGCAACTGCAAGATCATGCAGACAGAAGTAGAGTGCAAGCAGAGTAGAAGGTGTTTCCTAGGATGCTGAGTTCCATGTTTAGAAATGCTGAGTGGAAGACAGTGACTGTTTTTCTTCATTTGGGGAATCACTGTGGCTCTGGATAGAGTGCTAAAGTGGGAATCAAAGACAGTTTGGCCTCTAAATGTATCACATTATTATCAGTCACTTTACCTCTTTCAGCCTAGATTTCCCCATCTGGAAAATGGGGGCAACAGTGCTTGCTTCACTTCCTTTGTTGAAAGGATAAAATAAGGTTTTGAGAACTATAAAGCCTTATTCAAATGTTGGGTAGTCATATTACCATTTTACCTTAGTCAGGTTTTGTCAAGGGCAGGAAGTAGGTTGTAAAGGGCAGAACAGAGTGATTTAAATCCTGGCTAAAATTATGAGATTGGTTTCTGGTATATATATTATGTGGACTTGTCACAGTACTTCCAGGGGATATTTCTTTTCTTTAGGAAAAAAAGTAGTTTATCTTTAATAGCATTGGTTCATTGCAGGAAGGGACCATGTTTTAACATGATGCTGAATATAAACTGAAATTTATTTATCCCAGTCTAGTCATTTAATAGGTAGGAGTAAGTGAAATAAATCAAATTTAAAATGATGCCTAATTGTAGAAATGGGAGGGTAGTGAAAGTAGAAGGGTTGGTATGAGGGGAATTCATGTACTGTAATTAATATTTTAGTTGTGTGAGTCTGCTGGGAAATGAGCATGAGAAAATAGGTAACTGGGGTAGTAAGATTTTATACTCTAGGGGTCAGAAAATGGGTCCTGCAAATGACTGGATTTAGGGAAAGGTCCATGCAGGGCTTTACCCCCACTCCACTTGGGTTTTCTAGACCCCTTTGCTACTTTATTCTAATTATAACTAACCGCCTATTATCGAGATAAGAAAAAAAAAGTCAGGTATTGTCTATCATCATTCTCAATTTGCTGATACTGAATTTGACAAACCCTGACAAGTTTTAGTTTTAGTTCATCTCTCTTCTCTTATAGATTATCCAATCAATGTTCTAAGAATTCAAAAACCCAATAGTGGAGGGAAGAAGAAATATGTGTCCTGTTGAATTAGTTCTTGAGTAATTGAGGGTTGGTTCTTGAATCGTTTCCCCTAGTTTGTTTGGTAGTTTATTTCTAGGAATATATATTTCTTTCTTTCTTTCTTTTTTTTTAAGATGACACAGTGAGAGAGGGAACACAAGCAGGGTGAGTGGGAGAGGGAGAAGCAGGCTTCCCGTGGAGCAGAGAGCCTGATGCTGGTCTCAGTCCCAGGACCCTGGGATCATGACCTGAGCTGAAGGCAGACACTTAATGACCGAGCCACCCAGGCGCCCCTCTAAGAATATATATTTCAACCCAGGCTTTTTGTGGCAGATATAGTTAAGATGGGAAATTTATAAGAGAAGTTACTTTATGTGGTATGGGACAAGGGTACCCTTGGGGTTCAGAGGATGGGTAACCTGAGTGATCCCTCTTGCAATGTTTCTCCTAGTTAACTAATTTTTCTTGAGCTCTTATAGTGCTGAACACCAAAAGACTAGGTCTTTGCCCTTGAGTTCCCTCCCTAGACCCTCACCCCAGTAGTGGACACAGCTCTGAGCTCTGTTAAGAACCAAGCTGCACTTGGTACCAGTAGGAAAGAACAAGGGACCCAGCACTCTTGGGAGCTGGTGAGTCAGGGAACAGATTCCTGGGTTGACTGAGCAGTACAATGCCATATAATTGTATATACGTGGCACAATATTCCATCCCCTTTTTAATGCTTAGTCTTCAGAAATTAATAAAAAGCTCTTTACCCATGATATGGAATTTCTGAATTATATATCCGGTGACGGTGATGGGTTTGGGCAGTTCTTTTCTTCTTTGACTAGTGTGTTCACAAAGATAACTTTCTGGTGTAGATTGCTCTTCTTGCTCCCATTGAGGAACCCATTCCTCACAAGAATTTGGGGGACACTGTATTTAAAGAGACCACTTATTTGGGAGGCAGTGTATTTAAAGAGAACTACTTATACCTTCGTATGCGTGTATATTTGTATATGACGTCTTGAAATTCAGGGCATCCGAAGAAAATATATTTTGTAAAGGACCTCATTATCCAGTGAGAATATTCTCAGGTTGTCTCTTTAGTAAGTTAAATTATTTTACTGACACATGAGGATATGGGTAAACAGTGGCACATTATGAACTAGTTTGTACTGATTGTAGCAACAGCTATGCAGCAAGTGGATGAAAGCAAAACACCAGGAAAAGGGTACCCTTGTAATGTAACTGAGTTTGATTTATGAAGTCAAATTGAGAAAGACGTTTAAGAAATTCCCCCTTGATGAGACAGGGTGGTTTGGGGGAAAGAACAGGACTTTTGAGAGGGACTTGAGTGAAGTTGGGTGATCTTGGATGAGAGAACTTCCTTAGAAGTGGACCTAGAGGGCGCCTGGGTGGCTCAGTTGGTTAAGCGACTGCCTTCAGCTCAGGTCATGATCCTGGAGTCCCGGGATCGAGTCCCGCATCGGGCTCCCTGCTCAGCAGGGAGTCTGCCTCTCCCTCTGACCCTCTTCCCTCTCGTGCTCTCTCTCTCTCATTCTCTCTCTCTCTCTCAAAAAAAAAAAAAAAATCTTTAAAAAAAAAAAAAAAGAAGTGGACCTAGAATTGGTTAGTTGGGCAGCGATTGGAGGAATTACATGTATATTATATGTGATAGTAAAATGTTTCCTTTATTATTATTCTTCCTATAAGCTAGTGTTTTGTGTCTGTCAACAAATATTTATTGAGCACCTGTTTTTTTGGAAGTCTCAGTTGGGTAGTGGTTCACATAATCTTCACTTAGAACAGGGCCGAATGAATGAATGGGTTAGGGCTACAAAGAAGCAGCAGACCTTGGCCTCCATGTGTTTGTAATTCTAGTTGAGGAAATAACCTACACCACATACCGTACCGTGGTGACTAACAAAACAAAGCCACAGTTCAGTGCTTGTGCTCCGGAAAGGTAGAGATGAATGCAGTGAGTATCAGGGTGATACCACTGGATGTGGCCTTAAATGTATTGCTGAGGTAAAGACCTGGGAGGTGGGGTGTCCTCTGCAAAACACTGCCAAGTGTTAGTATAATTGTATATTGAGTGCCTTCTGAATGTCAGGCATTGAGCTAGCTAGGCACTTTATATTCTTTCATTCATTCATTCCCTTATTTATGTGTCCAGCCAATACTTATTGAGTGCCTTCTGTCTGCCCAGGTGCTAGTGTAGGCACTGAGTATTATCTCTCATACTTTCTCTAACCTTGTGCAGTTGGTATTATTATTTCACTTTTAGAGCAAACTGGTGCTCAGAGATAGCAACTTGTCTAAGTTCATATCATGCTGTTTGAAAGGTAGGACCAGGGAAATTGATACTGGCTTATGATTGTCTTGTTATGTCTTTAGGTTTCTGATTTTCAAAAAAGTAATTCCTAGAATGTTTTTAAGAAAACACATTTCCAGATTAATGTATTTACTCTTATACATTTGTTTACTAAGATAAGCAATAGCAAACAGGTATCAGAAAAAATAATAGAAAACTCTATCTCTTCACTTTCCTTTCTTTTTTCTTTTTTAAACCAAGAATTGGGAAAAGACCAACTACTGAATTATACTGAAAAGAACACCTTGGTCTGGCTCATGGCCTTGAAATGATCACAAACTGTTAAGAAAACATAACTCAGATTAGGTATGAGAATTGCTGGGCTTATTTGTAAAGAGGTTTCACTTGTTCTTTGTAGGAAGCGAATAGATGAGGCAGTAGGGTTAGTTCTCAAAAAATGTAGATCAGTCCGTCAATAGAAAGGATGGGAGCTAAATTTATTAAAGTGAACACAAAAGATGATGGAAT